GAAATGAGAAATGATTATACGCTTATTGTTGATGCTTAGATCTTTTTTGTTAAGCTTTGGATTGTAACTCTACAAGCTCAGTATTGTTCTTTAAAGTAATCCTAAGTGCGGAACTATATCATTTTGTATATGCAAAACTGCAAAACTTTTATATTCGTCGAAATAAGACATCGTGTTTCTGCTTTGTATAACGTATAAGGCAAATGTACAAATTGTAACTTAGAAAAGAAATTTTCATAAATATATCTGTCGTACATTTTGTTAACTATTTCAATCATGTATACAATAGAAATATCAGAATCGAAACGGTGATCGACGAAGTTCTATGATAGAATGGCAACATATGAGACTTGTCGTATGAAAAACTCGGGTTCTATCCTTAGTCATTCTCCGCTAGGAGATGATGCAATCATATCTTCTTTTTTTTATCTTTCTTACAACAAGAAATATACGATTGATAAATTTAATTAAAATAAAAAATTTTTAATAACATTTTATTTGCCAAATCGTTATGGCGCTATATATTTGTGAATTTTTATCATGATATGGATGTATCTTTAAAAATATGAACAATTTATTTATAATTGGACGTTGGAGGAGAGGGTGAGGGATCTGGAGAGTGAGAGGGAGAAAAGAGAAAGGACTGAGAGAAGGAATAACATTGTGATGAAGGGCTTTAAAGAAGTAAAGGATGCAAGGAAAAGGGTGGAAGAGGTGTTCAGGAAGATAGGAGCGAAGGCGAGGATGGAAGAGTTAAGAGTAGTGAGAACGGGAAGGAAGAGAGAGAGGGGATGGCCATTGTGAGGTTGAAGGAAAGGGATAAAAAGGAGATAAACGGAGAAAGGGTATGGATAGAGGACGATCTGATGTGGAAGGAGAGAAGGTCGAGATGGAAATTTAGGGAGGCAGTGGCGGAGGAGAAGAGGGGAGTGAGGGTATGGGTGGGGGGTGGTGGTAAGGTGATGATAGAAGGAGAATGGTGGAATTGGGACGATAAGGAAGAGGTTTTGAGGGACAGAATGGGAAGCAGAAGAGATGGAAGAGAAGGGGAGAAGAGGGAAAGGGACATTGCAAAGTGATGTTTTGGAACGTGGCGGGACTTGAAAAGAAGAACAAGGACTTTTGGAAAGGGATCGAAGAATGGGATGGTTGTAATGTCCGAGACGTGGTAGAGAAAAAGGGATAGAAAAAGATGAGGGAGAAGCTATCGGGGAGATTTGGGAAGTGCAATTGGCCAAAAAGAGGAACAAAAAGGGAAAGGTGATAGGGAGAAAGGTGATGAGGAATGAGGAAGGGAATAGAGATGGTGAAGGAGGGCAAGGTAGAGGTGGAGGGTCTGATGACGAGGATGATAAAATTAAAGGGAAAGGAGTGGAGAATTGTTGGGATATACGTGAATGGAGATTTGGAAGAGAAGTGGGAGATCATAAGGGAGTGGGCGGAAGATGGCGGGACATGATCGAGAACTATAGTTGGGGGGGATTTTAATGTGAGAAGGGAAGCTAGGGGGCTGGTGGGAGGGGGGGAGTTAGGCGAGGGGGTAGAGGGAGAAAATCAATGGATGGCAAAGTGAGTAGAGAGGGTAGGTGGTTGGTAGGCAGGTTGGAGGAGGTGGGGTGGTTTATTTTAAACGGATGCGAAAAGGGAGATGGGAATGGAGATCTCAGGAGGGCGGGGAGAGTCGGTTCTGGATTATGTAGTAAGGAACTAGGACATGTGGGACAGGATAGAGAAAGTAAGAATGGAGAGAAAGTCGATTTGAT